ACGATAAATCCAAAATCTCTCTGAAAACCAAGAATTAAGGTTGCCCTCTGGCAAATTATACTTATCCACAATAAGAAAATGTTCACAAGGAACAAATGACGTGTACCAATTACAGTCTCCGGCGTATAAATTGTTCACGAAAACCGATTGACAGTTCACTTTCGTTTTGAAACCAAAGACTTTCCTCAATTGACCAGTTTCCGCCTGAGCCCCCCGATGTCACAAAATTCTTGGGAAACCGTTCTTAGTCACACTATAGAACAACTACTGTACTCACATTGTTTTATAAATTTTAATAATCAACGAAAAATATAAACTTTTATATTAAGTCAACCATCTTTGTTCTTTTCCGAATAATGTGTGTTCCCCTCTGCAGAGTTACACAGCTCCCCATAGCATTAGTTTTGAAACTAAAGATTTGTGACAAATACTAAATTATATGCCTTTAATTGCAATTATAGTTTACCTGATTTTTATACTTTGTGTAGCAATCCTTATTTTGACAATCTGCCCTCCTTTTGAAACCAATTCTTTTAGCAAGACATCACTATACAGTCTGCAATGAAGCAATTCAATTGTGCAGAGCTCTTAGAATTACTCCCTAGAATAAACAGTGTAGTAAATTCAAAGGTGCAGCTTATCTTGAAAATCATGACTACATGAACATTATGGGTAATTTTGTAAAATACAAAGTCACATTTCGGCCAGAAGAATTAGATAACAAACCATAACTTACATGTATACGCGCGCGGTTTTACGTTATTGGCATTGGCAAAACAGTATTGATTTTGTGCACGTTGGTCAAAACTAGCAAAATTTCTCTCACTCGCGCAGGCTCGTATTATCGGTGGACATCTTACAGAAAGTATGCAGTTCGTTCGGTTCAAAATGCACAAGATTAAACTTTTTGAGATTCAATAAGTCCGCTGAAAATGCAAGCCTGCAGTACTGGGAAAAAAATTGCTGAATATGGGCAGGGCCGTGGACTATACTGAAATTAGGAGGATGAGGAACACCATTGTAAAATATCATCGTTGTCGACAATCTGTTCTTAATTAACTAAATTTTATAGAGAAAAAAATAAAAAAGACTATTTATTTTTATTTGTTTATTTAGTATACAACCATGATCCAAGTCGTGTTTGCAGTCTCGTTTCTTCTTGTTAATGCAATTGGCATTAATGCTGGGACAAACTTTGAAGTCACATGGAAAAAAAATTGTGGATATAGTACGTTGGCAAGCATTATTCTATAATTTTATTGCTGTCTCAGCAAGCAAGCAAGCAAGCGACATTGCAGCAATCCTACTAACTTTCCAAGCGCGATGCATTGCATAGTAGCTGCTATTGCTTTATTGATTATTGCCTTTACACCTCTAGATCTGGAAGAAATGAAGTGATCAAATATCGTGAGCGAGGAAATATATTTCACAATGGCATATTTAAGTGATTATAGCATTAACACTCAGATTCGGCAGACGATTCAGACAAACTCATGTGCTTGTTAAACCCATATTTCAAACTTATTTCGGAAGGCAAAATATTATTCGAAACTTTTCGCTCAATATTGTTTTTGGAAATACTCATATTTGGGAAACTTAAAAAGATTTGCAATGTAGACTACATTGGATTCCAGGTCTTTGACGATATTGTAATTTGTGGAAAGCTTCATAATTCAAATCTTGAAGGTTGATCCCACCCTCATCCATTCCCCCTTAAATGTTTGTCAAGACGAGAATAATGTTAATGTCACAATTTTTAATATAATCAGCTATTTAAATATTAGATTTTATATTATTGCACAATTAATCCTTATTATTACACACAATTATAGGAATTTTATTATAACATAAAATTACTAGTAATGATAATTTTCCATATATTGAACAAAACATTTTACGTAATCAAATCCTTGTAATCAAATTATTTAAAATCTAAAAAGTTCTAAAGGGTCCTTCACATATAACTTTAGAAGTTCTTTCAAATAAGACAAAGTTAATTTGTATTGCCACATCTCTTTAAATTGCCCAAAGTCGCCTTAAATTGCCCTAGACCGCCTTATATTTCCACATGTCGCCCTCAATCTCAACTAATTTCTCCCTCAATTTATTTCAGTCGATATCAGTAGCCATATAAGTCAGCAGCGGCTTAAAACAACTTAATTTAGGATCCGGAGTAGGTCTACGAATACGTTCCTCTGAAACCACGTTGCACTTTCTTTGCATTAGGGGACCGGCGCCGGGTTGGTCAATTTAGAGTTACGACCGATCGTAATTAGAAACGTTGAGTTTAATTGTTTTAGAGGTCGAATTTTGTATGCCCAAATTCAAGTTATTGGAAAAAAAGAATATTGTTATTTAAAATAATCTAGACAATAGGCATGAAGGAACAAAGAGCATGCGAAAACTGTGGAATTAGCCATTTTCCAAAGTGTGGGTTTTGGTCAGGTCACGCGCATCACATGTTGGACGGACAAGAAATGTGTCAACTGTGTGAACGCATTTTTACATTAAACGTCTAAGGCAAAAAGGAGTGTAAAAAGTTGATATTTTATAGTGGATACTTTCCTCTCTCACATGGTTGACGCCTGTCACCATATAATTTATCTGTCAAAACTATCCAGGATGCATTGTAATTTCTTTTGGGAAAAGGTTAATTGGTAATTAGAAGACACGGGCATACGGTATATAAAAAAATGACTCTATACTATCTCAGTGATAGAGGTAACAAGTTAAGCTATCAATAATATTCTGATTATTTTGTTGTTAATCATTCAGATCAATATGTCTGGCATGTGAGTAGTGTTCACAGCAACCCTCATCAGGATCGTTCTTGGACCTTTCTATGCAAATATAGCTCGAGGGTCACAACCACGTGCTCATGGACTGGATGGGTGAATTTGTTCACCCGCGAACTATTATACCAATGTCCAAATGGAGTTATTGCAGGTAACTATAATCTATGATAATCATTTTATGTTCCTATTTTTGAACGAATCTAAACGGCTCAATTCTAAGGCAAACTGCAGACGGATGCCATAATAAAGATACGGGAGGCAGTAAATATAACTTTATAAAGGAGCCAGGGACGCCGGAAGATCGATAATTGGGGGGGGGGCAGATATTCATATATTCCTGTTCTGCCCAATTAATTTCTTTTGAAATCGATTGTTCTTACAGTCTGTGAACACGAATATATGAATATCTGCCCCCCCCCCTAATTATCGATCTTCCTGCGTCCCTGAAAGGAGCAACTTTAAAAGAGGCAGCAACAACAATATATAGGTATAGGAATGGTACTAGCAGATGTTGCAGCAACTAAAAACAACAGTAGCCTATAAGAGATTTTAACAGATAAAAACAGTAAAAGTAAGAGTAAGAGTGAAAGCGAAAGCGACAGTAAAAGTGAAAGTGACAATAACAGTAAAAGTAATAAAGTAGATTCGTGTTTAGAATGGACGGTAACTGCAACAACAACCGTAATAGCAACAATGACAGTAAAAATTGACAGCAAAATGAACAGTGACTGCAGCAGCAACAGCAACTATAAAAATAAAAGAAACACGTAATAATTAGTATAGGTAAAATCAAGGTATAATTAGTACAGTATAGTAGTATGTGTAATAATGACATGCAAAAAGGTACACTGATGATAACATAAATAGGAACAGTGTAGTAAGACTTTGAGCTGTATTAGCAGAATATTTAAGTTGGAAACAATAACGCATCAACTGTGTTGCACAGCACTGGACTTTCTAAAGTAACACAAATTAATTGTTCTTAAAACATTATAGGTGTCTACTCCTACCACAGCAATAAATATGAAGACAGAAGATTCAGTTTTAAATGTTGCAGCACCAAATATGGTTACGGATATGCGTGTTACTGGACTGGTTATGTAAATTACTCTGATGGTTATTTGAACTACGGGGTACCAACTGGGTATTTCCTTACGGGAGTGAAAGGGGATTATGATCAGAAGAAAAAGTAGGTCCAACAATTTTTTTTCAGTTTATTAATGTGTTCGCTGTAAGTTATGTTCAAAAATGTAATAATACGAAGTTTCTAAAGGTGGCAAAGGCAAAATTGGTTGTTAAATACATTATGATTGAACGAGTATATAATGACTGACTTAATAGGCTGCTTTTCAGCTTTCCCGGTGTGGATATACACTCAGAGTAATATCGCAAACATCATATTCACTTAAGTACATAACACCAACACACATATAGCAATCATATCAAAGAATACACTGATAACGGAGGAACTAGATTCATTTCCGAAATATCATGAATTCGAACGACTTGAAAACGTAGCTCAGTTGCATGGCAAAGCATTGGAGTAACATCCCAATGGGCGCGGGCTCGCTTGCCACTGTGGTCAAGCTAACTTTACAGCTTGCCCGGTGTAAATGCACGCATAAGTAACACCACAAAAATCGTATTCACCTGAATACATAACACTAACACACACAAAATAATTATATCTACTCTATTGAGTGCAAGATTTGAGGTTCGATCTAACTGGTGCATCGGCTCTCAGGTAAAATTGCTTGCCTAATACGCTGGATGAAATTGATTAGGCTATATGAAGTCATATCCCTTACCATCTTCCTTCTTTTTTTAAGGGATAGAAGATGGAGATTCCAGTATTGCAAACGGGCTTGAGGAAAACCAACTACTATTCATTTTTTATTTGACGAACATTAATTTTATGCCTTTTTACTCATCACTTTTTTCTATTTTTGTGTAAATATGATGTCGTTGTAACGGATTTCAAACGATTTGCATAATAAAATACAACGCAATAAATTCTGTCCAATCATTTACACTTTAAGCACGCACTACTTGACAATTAGATAACAAAGCCGAGATGTTTAAGAATGAATAGTCAAGGAGACAAAGCCGAGTTGACTATTCGCCAGAGACAACAAGGCTGAGTTGTCAAATTGTTTTAATATAAACCGCGTAAAGAAAACTGAATTTTTAACTTGATTTTTATTAAAAAATAATCCATTCTTAGCGAAATTAAATGAGCGTTGAAATGGCTTCCTGCGGCGACATTGTGTCTTGGTCTTGTTGAGAACTACTCATTCAGTGCTGCAAACTCGCAAGGATAATGGCTTGAAAAATATGACTTTTGTCATGATAGTTTTGAAAAAGTACAAAATCATGTCGTAAACAGTACAATAGTAAGGAGTCGCTATACAAACAACGTTTCGCTAATTAAAAGAAGAAAGCAAAGCTTAAAAAGTCTAAAATTTCAAACACAAAATGGCTTCCCGAATAAACTAAATAAAGTTCACGTTAACAATCCGGACAAAACTGCATGCAAAAGAATCCGAATAACGTTAAAATTTGTACAATATCTGGAAAACTAAAGAAGCAAACCATTTTATAGCGACATAGACAACAGTTTAGATTAATATTTAATCGGACCTTAATGAAGTTGAATATGTTGGAAAAGAGACAAATAGCAGTGGCGTAGACAAGGGGTGGCAAGGGGGAGCTCAGCCCCCCCAATAGGCTGAAAAACTGCCCTTGTAAAAAGATGAAATCCGGGTAGAAATTAGGGGGGTGGGGAGGATGACTACCGATGTGACTGCCAATCTCATCTGTTTACCAAATTCGATCTATAAAAGTTCTAATCTTTCCTAAATCTAACTACGGAAAATAATGCCTATGGTGGTCATTGGGTAAAATGCGTTTAAAACTTCGATTTAACTATTTACATGCCACCAAGTAAGCTTCGTTGAGCCAAATTAAGGATACACATTATTGAGAAATCATTAAAAATCAGGTCTTTCCTGCAGTAAATAATCTTCAGAATTATGCAAAATCTCTCCCCAGAAACACGGGAAATCGCCATTGAGGGACTCCAGATTTCAAAATTTTCCCGTCGGAGTTCGACATATGCCCCCCAAAATTATAGTCTAGCTACGCCACTGACAAATAGTCAAAATCGAACAACTGGCAACTAAGCAAGACAACAATAACCTGGAACACATTTTTGTGGCATATATTTTGGGCAGAGAAGTGCTCGAAAACAGTTCCGGCCGAACTGTCTAGAGGCTCTCGCTAACCTAAATTTTATCTAGAGAAACAGGCGAATCTCTAGACTGCAGAGGGCATGCTTGACTCTGTGCATGTCGTTCGGCGAGCTGAGACCTAGTTGGACTGGTGAACAACTATTGGTATAGGGCACATTACCCAGGGTACTCAAAGCTGGCTGAGGATACACGCAAAAACTGTAAGTTGTTCTAGAGGAACAGGCGAACCTCTAGATAACAGGGGAACAGGCGAACCCCCGTTCAGATCCGTCAGGCCGTCAACATTGAAACCTAGTTGGACTGGTGAACAACTATTGGTATAGGGCACATTACCCCGGGCCTCAACTGATAACCTGACTGACCACATCGAGTCTCTAGGACTGCTCATTCAGGTCTTCAGTGCGACCTGAATGAGCAGCGATTGCGCTTCACGTGGTGAAGTGTTGTCCATCGGACAGCACTTCCCTGCCATTAATGACAATCTATACGAAGTATAGATTGTCGTTTCCGCCACGGAAAGCTGCGCAGAGTCAACCGGGTCGGCAATAAAGTGAAAAAAAGGAGGGGGGGGGTTAAAGAATAAAAATTTGTTTTTTGCTTTGCGTTTAGCATGTCAATATTAGGCAGATTCGTTAAATGTTTGAACTTTGTTGCTGTTTTTATATGAAAGAACTAATTGCAGACCCGTTTCGGTTCATTGCCGACGCGGCCAAGTCCGGCTATGTCAATTTAACGAAATCAAAAGGCCCAAGGTTTACTAGAGAATGCTGTTCACTTGATGCTGACACTTATGCTAAGGCTGGGTAATCAGGGAGGCCAGGAAAAACCTGCAGTACAGGAAAACCTGGGTAGGGCCAAGACCACCCGCAGCTCCCCAAATAGCTTTATCTTTACAAGTGTAAGAAGAATCAGCATCATGGTAAACAGCACCATACCTAAGACTGCAGGCGATAACGTCGGAGCGAGGATTATATATAATATTAGCAAAGTGTTTTTACCCTTTTACTCTGCGGGTTTACCAGTAGGCAGGAATTTTGAACTAGCTGCTTTTTCTACAACCAGTATAAAGTTTTGATAACCATTTTATTCCTGCAAGTATCCAAGTTAGTTTATATTTTGAGTTTGCCATTGTTTAAACTGGATTATAGAAACTTCTGAGCGTTATAAACTACTAGTTAAACCTCAGTAAAACCTCGTCCTCGCAATTCATGCAGGAACATTACAACTTGTACATATAGACAGTTCATAGGTTAGAATGTTTCAGAGTTAATAATCGAGCAATGAGCCTGCAATCCGGGAATAGTCTTCACCAGAACGCATTCGAGTTTGTTGTTCGCCTTAAGAACAAAAGGAAAGACGCAAGAGAAAAAACGAGGGCTGTACCTGTACAGTGAGAAATTTGTGGAACTAGGTGATGAAAGTATAGGTTGAAAGATAACTGAATAGTTAACCGGCATCTAAGGACGAAAAACGGACTCGTATTCATTTATGCAATGTTCGTTCCTCAAAATCCAAGATCTGATTGATTATGTTAGTGAATATACGCTAATGCCAACTAAACCGCCTTATAAAGCAACTTATGCATGCGGATTATTGTTATATGATATGGGTGAAAATCAATTATTGCTTGCCTCTGTAAATTCCATTGCCAGGCACAGAAAGCGAGTATACTTGCATGATGGATCTAGCTGGAGTGTACTGTATAGTACATATATGATAACTTGAAACACTATAGTGTTTCTCTCAGATTGTGTTTGCCATGCATTTTGGTTGTTTGTGCATCCAACTGATGCACAGTCTGGTATTATATAGGTGGGTTTCACTAAGTGTTATA